CCTGTTAGCAGCTCTTTTGTTAGTTTCTCCAGTCTTGCTTTAGTTTCTTACCCTGCTCCCTGATCTACTGTTTAGTTTAGCATTTTGGAATTCTTTGTTTCTCCCTGTCAGGATGAGCCTATGTATTTTTCCCCTTTAGTCTTGTTCTCTATTATTTAATGAAGCCCTACTTGAACCTTCCCTTGTCTCGTGTGTCTACACATTGGGTCCTACCTAGCCCCTAACCATAACAGTCTGAGTCATTACATTCTGCTGCTGTAGTCTGTTTGACTTTGGCAGAACATTGTGCACTGTAGTCTGTTGTTAGTATTAAAATGCACGCCTAATGGCAATGCAAAGTAACACCATTAACTTTCTGTATTGCACACTTACATAATTATGCATGAACGTGCAGAAAATATGCAGACACATGCAGCAGCACACCAGCTTCTTAGGGAACTGATACTCAGCAATATCTTTAATGTGTTCACTGAGAATCAGAATTAATGACCTGCTACATGCCATCTCTATTGCTGGAGCCTCAAAACATTATCATTTTCTCCTCTGGGAGAATACATTCAGCCTGCACACATACAAGTCATTTTGGTTTGAGCTATTAAAGCAGTAAAGGAATATGGGCCAAACCTTCATCTCCAGTGTAGTATCCCCAGAAGGTTAGCATGAATGGAGCATTTACTCACACTGTGAAATCTTTCAGATGGCTTGTACCTCGTCTTTGTTTTGTCATTGTCCATACTTTTTTCTGTCGCACTTTATTTTTCTCATGGTTTGGCATCATGTCTATTCACAAGTTAGTTTTTATAATGCACAAATTCATACAAAACATATTCAAACTGCTATAAACATTAAATATAGACAAAATGCAAAGAAAATAAAAGCTAAAATAACTAGGAAGCATTTTGGGTTTATTCTTAAAGGAATCCAATATTGTATACTCACAAGCAGGCTGCATGGTTGTTCATGATATATTACAGAAAGAGCTCTGGGAGTGTAAATTTGATGGCCACATTTTGTAACTAAAGAAATCTGTTGTGTTGCTAAACTGGAAGCATGTCAGATCAAGAGCAGGATTTTATAGAATAGCTTAGCATGGCTCGAAAACCTTGCTTTGCTGACCTCCTTTGGTTTTGTCCTTCTGCAGTGCTGTTGGAATGTACTCCAGGTTGTGGTCAGTGTGACATCACTGCACAATTTCTGCACATTGCGGGAGCAGCATGCGAACAAAGCAGCAGCTTTTTGGCAGCAGTCAGAGCTAAACATCCTAGTTACATGTGTACCATGGAGGAAGATAAACTTGTGTAAAAATACACTAACCACAACCCAAAGTGAGATTGATGTAAATAGTTGTAAAGTCATCCAAAGAACAAGCACCTTGTGCTGGTTGGCAGTAATCACTTGGCCTGATCGAGACTGTTTCATTCCCAATTACAGAGCTAAGACCATATACAAACACATAAGATCTCCAGAGCACACACACACACTAGTTGGACAGCAAGAGGAATGTGGAAAAGTTAGCTGAATTTGTGTAATGAATTAGGTTAGAACTTTAAGTTGAGCATCACCAGTAACTTGTTGATTTGTGACCTGGTCCCTGATGCTGAAGGTTCTAGACTCCAGACAGACCAACTGCCTCTAAACCCTGCTTCCAAAACTAGGCTGAAATACCACAGGAGAAGTAACTGCAGTCAATATCAGTAAATCTCTTTTGCCCTTTCAAGCGCACTGTAGAAGGATGAATGTTTGCGCTCTGTGTGACTGCTCAAAATGTTTTACAAGCGTTTCTTCTTTAGTGTTATTTTTGTAGTTGTATACTTAGAGAAACATTGGCACAGAACCGTGTTTTACACTCACAGGGCTGACTCTGATGATGCCGGTGCATGTTCTGCAGGTTCAAACGTGACACCCACTGAAAACTAGAAAATGCCAAGATCTTGTTTTTAGTAGGGTTTGGACATGAATCCACTTTTTTCCCTTCCCTGTCATGTTTTGGTCACACTTAAAGCTTTCCTGTCAGTGAATTTTTCTCCCAGTGTGCTATTTATTTACGGTTCCTGGCAGCTATGATATCTGTCTGCTCATTGCTTATTTTATACCTCATCTTACTTCTGCTGTAGTCGCTTGTAGTTATCCCATCATTACTAAAGCACATAAGGTGCAACTAATTGGTCAAATCATTATTATAATTACAGAACACATGAGGCATGATCAGGAAGCTTAGGCAAGGTTTTCACCCTTTGTCTGCACCTTTATCACAGTGAATGAATGATGTTGTTGGTTAAATTATCTGTGTGCTCAGCGCCTGGCTCTGTATGGATCTTCTCAAGAAGAATACTTCGCTGTCTGAGAGGGAGCTTCAGAGGATTTTTATTTATTCTTTTCAATAGTTTCCATTGTTAATATATACAGACATGCTAATCTATATTGACATGTTGTTTGACAGTGACTCTTGTTGTAACAGGTCAACAGGCCTTTTGGCACACTGATTGTAACCATGGAAAGAAAATGAGAGAAGAGTTTTCAGTGGCTGCAGCTTCTGTGTGCTGTGTGCCTGTTGGCTTGTGAGCCATTTGCTGTGATTGGACAATGCACCGAACTATGCTACATCATACCTCTACTACACAGTGAAGTCCGCATGTCAAAGTAGAAAAGTTTTCTCCACAATCAGAAAGCAAATTTTCACCTGAAAATAGTTTTCTCCACAATCAGAAAGCAAATTTAAAGATGCATTTTTCACCTGAAAATGGGTTGTTGGTCTGAGATGCACTGTGTGATTTACTGCTTCACTGAACACCTGTGTTGAGTCTTCTGTAATAGACAATGGAACACAATTGCATGGATGTTTAGCTTCGCTTTTGCTACAAAGACCTGCTTTAGTTCAGGTTAATATCAGTCTGCATTTCTGATTATGAACACACACACACACACACACACACACAAGTAAGATGATACTTTTATGGAGTCATGCCACACTTTAGACGGCATTATCTACAGTGTAGAGCCATAGAACACACAAAATGGTCATTGCTCAGCGCTGCATGAGGATTTCTGGCTTTCCTTTTATTGTGCATTGCACAGACTGAGCACTTTGTCACCTCTATGACACTTTACATCCCATTATTTCATGTTAGTAGTTGCTCCCTACCAAGCAATTTTTCTCTAGTTTTCAGTTCTGTACAGTAAATCCTACTAGATCATATACTGTATCAACCACAGCAATCAGCAGTGGGCTGAGTTCCAGCTGAGGAGTTTAGGCTCTGCAGTAACACTAGAGATTGTTCCAGAGAGATGGCTCGGCACCGAATTAAAGAAAACAAATCATATTTGCCAGCTCATCAACATCATTGTGTTTTCTCTGTGGATTTCTGAAATATATGCAAGATTTTTAATTCCTGACTGAAAACAGCCTAGAACCAGTAGCAGCTCCTATAATGTTTACCTTCCCCAGCCTGCACTCTAAGCTCAGTGAATACCACTGTCTGAGAGCAAATCATCAGCGCTCATTATCCAACAAACCCAACAGGTTCTCCAAGCCTTTCTTTCTCATCTCCACCAAGTGGCCATCACAATATGGCCATACACCCAGCTGACTGCTTCTTGTTTTAATGAATATGTGTAATGGGTAGTCTGGTAAATAGCCCAGATTGCTCTTTTCTGAAGGCTAATGATGTCTTGGGCTCTCCTCAGTTAAGAGGGGAACGGGGTCACTAAAAGGTTTGCTTCATTGCTTAGTCATTCAGCTTCATTAAAGCCTTAGTATGTATTCATTAACATCCCCGCCACAGGTCTCCCAGAACATGTTCTGCTTTGCTCTTTTATTCTTTATAAACCAATTAATAATGTATTAATCCTCCAGTAAGGGTTTGGGCTGGTTGATCTGTTTACCAGACTAATCAGGGCATAAACCTCGACCTCAGAGGGTATAGCCTCATTTAGCCCCACATTTGGTTAACTGTTTTGATAAACCAAAATGTAAGCCAATGTGACAACTCGCTAATAAAGACCTGGCTGTTTTCCTCAAGCCTTGGAGTCTGAACTATCTAAAGCAGGTAAAGAACCAAAAGCAGGGTGAGTAATGGATTTACACTGTACATTTGAACAGAAACACAATTCTGAAAGCTATTGCATGTCTGCAGGATGTGAAAACAACCACACAAGCTAGTTACCCGCCTACAGTCGCAAAGCACTTTTGTTAAGCAGTAGTAGCTTGAAAACTGCAATATGTAAGTACGTGAAAGTTTGGAGGACATCCAGAGGCATCTGTAGCTGCTGACTTGAATATTTTGTGCTCATTTAATTTTTCATTGAAACCTGCTGCACATCACCATGTGTCAAATGCGTTTCCCCAGCACAATATTTCATTTGAATAAGAAGCCTACAACTGCTTTCCCACATTTTTGCTCATTTTTACATCCTATGATGATCTTTATTCAAGAACCATATTAATTCTATAAAATTCAGTTTCTGCCTATAAATATTAAACCGCAATAGGCTAATTTGTTCCTGGGTTTGCAGCTTACGAAATATAAAGCAATAAATAAACAGATGGATGGATGGATGGATGGATAGCCTCAGGGTCGCTCATAACTCTGACTCGTTTTCCCAACCCAAAAGCTTCTCTATGCAGTATTGTCAAGCTGCAAATCACTGTGGCGTGAGTTCCATTTTTATGTCACATTCATTTGTGGGTGATGGCAGCTGATGTTCAGCTCATTAAGAATTCTCACCCTCCTCCTCCTTCTTCTTCTCCTGCTGCTACTGCCGTGTCTCCTTGAAAGCAGAGTAGCTGTGACTCTGCCTCACGTTCGTCCTTGACTGACTCTCTTCATGAGTTTGCCATTTATACTATGTTTTTTCTCCTTCACTTACTTTCATCTCTTTTTTGTATCTCTTCTCATGTCCCTCGTATTTTTCTTTTAAATCGTTCACCAATTTGCTCCCATGATTGTCTTTTTAATGTTTCTGACCATGTCTTTTCTCCTCCTTTCTGTCACTCCCTGTAGGAGCTGGTGGGCAGTAACCCTCCGCAGAGGAACTGGAAGGGAATAGCGATCGCCCTTCTTGTCATTCTGGTCATCTGCTCGCTGATCGTCACCTCCGTCATCCTGTTGACACCAGGTACGCAGGACAGAGAGGGAAGGGTCACTACGCCATACACCACACATCATGTTGTTTACATGCCTACTGTTATGCATAGACATGGCTGTTAGGTTTCAGTCTGGATGTGTGGTCCATGCACTCATGCAGTATTAGCAGTGTCACCCACTGTAAAATCAAAGTTAACCTCCACATGGGTGCCCTGAGTATGGCCACATTTAGTAAAGGTCAGTAAACCTCACTGAAGTCGGCTGGCACATTATTGCTTTCTTCATGAACGCAAGCCCCGTCTGTCTCCTTCACTTACTCCTTCACCTTGCACACATACATTTCGAACATTTGTTTTAAGGAATCTGATTTTTATTTCAGAATGACCTTCAGGGTTTCTATTTGCACATATACATAGACGTTCAATCAGTAGCCCATCTGTTTATATTTAGCCTCATAAAGCTTCTTGATGTGGTTTTATGTGCTGCCAGATCAGTCAATGCAGCAGCCAAGGTGTGCACACTATCATTCACTTACAATGACAGTAATCACTCTGTCCTTGTTTATCATTTTCTGTTGCAGACAATTGCATGTAATGTTTCCTAGAATTGTAGAGGCACGGTGGGAAAGCAGGGTCGTCAATTATGAAATAAATTCAGTGTTTTTCTACATAATCTTCTGGGATCCAGACAGGTGTTAGCGCAGACGCATCTTTGGTGTAAACCTTTAGTGCAGTGGCAGGTGTTAAAGCAGCAAGGCCTAAAACACCTTGTGACTTGCAGGCTGTGACCTGTTCCTGTCCTGGAGTGTTTGTTATGGACCCAGATGAACTCGAGCTATTTAATGTGCCACTTCCAAACAAGAGCAACCAGTAAGAGTCGGGCACAAAGCAGAGGCTGGACAGGTGGTGTCTTCAGCTTGTACCTCACTTTAATCTGCCCCCCTCCCTGAGTCAACTGTGTTGCTCAAGCGGAACTGCTGTTCTGCTGTAAGTCTTGACACCAGCAGGTTCCTTGAAGCCACTCTGAGGCCTCCAGCAGATGGCCTGATAAAGTAGTGTTTGTAAAATATATATGGCATTGTAGAGATTTTTTTGGATATTAAAAATATGTGCCTCATAAAATCCTGTTTTGGAAGTGTGGATTAATTAGGCACCCCTAGCAAATGAGACAAGCTTAAGGATGTTGCAGCTCTATAAATCATTCATCAAGGACATTGATCTGTTTGTGCAAAGACAGTTTATTTGACTCCTTTTTGGGTTATCTTGGACTGTTAATTAAATCCCTGGATTCTCCAAAATTGAATACATTTTTACACTTGCAGAGTTAAAGGAAAAGTTTAGTCTTAAAAACTCTTATGGTCACATGAATCTGTAAACTGGGATGTTCACAACAGATTCCCTGGAATTTTACAAAAATTGACCAACTTGAAATTGTTCAGTTATTGGATATTTACCATTCATTGTTTCAAATTTCACTCACCCATATTCTGTTGTGTACTTTTGGTCTTTTGTTATAGTTTGGACTAGCTAACTGTTGTTTATGGCAGTATCCATGATTATAGAAGTCCACACTTTGTAGTGTGTCGTACAATGTTAACAGTTTCCCTGTTCCCCACACCTTTGAGGTCAAAGTGTGGCAGGACTGTTACTGATATATATAATGTTTTATATTTTTTTACAGAACCAATAAGCTGACCGTCATTCCTTTAACCACTTCTATCACTTTTCCATTCATTTTTTTACTATGTGGTTGGTGACATGTTGCATCAGCCCCTTTTTTTCAGGTTTACCTGGTACTGTGTCCACATGTCTCTAATGTGAATGCTGTAAAACTACCAGCTGAAATCATAATGCATAATGGATTCTACATAACATTTTCCCTGTCAAGATAAAGTATATGGCTGCTCAACATATTTGTAGCATATATAGTGTAGGTTAATTCTTTGTACTGTTACTCTTGTCATGAATCGGCGCGTGATGCTGCCGAAAAGTGTTTATTGAACTCAATTAAATGGCCAGACGAAACACAAAATACCAAAACCGAAGATAATGCTGGAAAGTCAGAGCTGGGGTCTAGAACAATCTGGCAGCATCCTTGTGGGAGGACGCTGCCTAAATAGAGGTGTAAACAGGTGCAAACAATACAAAGCAGGTGAAACTAATGTGAGTGATGAAGAATGTAAAAAGACCGAAACTAAGGTGAAACAAAAACAGGAAGTAAGGTCAAAAGAAAAGTCCGACAGTAAGCAGCGGAACCGAATCATGACAACTCTTTCTGTATTGATTAATTCTATTATGTTCAGCAGATTCCTATCTGCTTCTATTGCTCGGTAACCCACTCCTCTTGCTGCTGTAACACCTGAATTTCCCCCTCAGGGATTAATAGTCTTTTCTTATATTTTCTCATCTTAAAAAGTACATGAGACAATCCCATCACCTGTAGTTTGCCCTAATCAGGTATTCAGATTGCAAATAAACCACTAAAAAGGTGTGGTATTGCCATTTGTTTAGGTTCCTGTCTGTGTAGAAACTGCTATCTCTGCCTCTTAGAGTTAATTTCTTCTGTATGATTGTGAAAATAGTGAGTGGGACAAGAAGGTGTTGATTCTCCAGCACTGAACTCGCAAGAATGCTCATGTTTTTTTTTGTTTTTTTTTTGTTCATAACTGAAAAATTCTGTATCATTAAACCTGCTGGAGCTGCTGTAAATCAGTCAGAGAATGCCTGGCCAACTATCAGCTGCAAAAGGAAGAAACTATACTGCAGAAACATTTTATCATGGCAGTTAATGATTTAATGATTTTGTCTAAAAAAAAATGTGAAAAAGTTTATGTTCCTGATTCAAGAGGAAAATGATATATTTTGAGAAAATGTTAGATATTGAAACAAGAAAGAATAAAGTCAAGTCATTGTACCAGAGTCAGGAAAAACTAGCCCTAGATTGGACCACAGATTGTATAAAATCATAAAATTTAAAGGGCTAAATTAGACAAAATCATTTGTCATAAAGGGAGTGATTTCTGCAGTGCAAATAGGCCCAGGAGTGCAAGGTACATCACAACATTTTGTATCAGTGTTTAAGTGCCTTAGGGAGACTTTTCCTATTAAAACCATGCAGTCATTCAGAACAGTTTGTTTTGCTGTAATTACATTTGAAGGTCAAATAGTTTGGGAACAAAGGCTTCCCTCCCTAAGCAGCAAACTGTAGCAGTGCAGCTCATGTGAGGAGTTCTGAGATCGCATGTTGTTCCCCCTCAGTCAGGAGGGTTTGTTGATGGATGTTCCCCTGCCATACAGGCGAGGCATGTTCTAAGTGCTCCTGACAACCACTTTGTTCACACTCACACACACACACACACACACACACACACACACACACACACACACACACACACACACACACACAGACAGACACAGTTTTAGCATCCGTTGGAACTGATAGCTTCATATTTCTAAGAGGCTGCTTTATTTCCTACAGCTAAGTCAGTTGTTCACTGATGGTATCTGAGTAATTCTTAAAGCTGTCAGGTTTGACTGATTGAGAGACAGGTATGTGAAACTATGGCAGAATCACATGCTATGCTAATTTAATGCATGTGAATGCAAGTATTCATAGAGGTTACTGTGTAAAACAAACATTCAGGTTGCAACTTGCCCAAAGGCAACCAAAAAATTGTTCCTGTTTTGTGTATATAATTATTATTTTTAGCCTTTAAACTTGTAAAATGTAAACATAATGAGTGTCAAAATGGCTTAATCTGTTCATAAAATACTCACCATGTGCATGTTTAACTGTGACCTTTGTCCAGGTTGCTATTGTATGTCATCCAAATTCACTCAAAAAAAAAGTGTGCAGGTCCTACAGCTATGTCGCTATGACCCTACCAAATGAACTGCCTTAATAGTTTAGGATGTGTCAGGTCCTGCCTCTCTTTCTTTTTTCCCTCTCCTGCTCTCCCTTTTTGCGGGATCAACGCCTCAGCTGTGTCGCATTGGGTAATTAGTGACTCGTGGGTCGGTGCGCACACCTGGGGTGTATTCCGATGATTTGTTTTCTTCCTTATTTAAACCTCTGGCAGACTTTGCCGGAGCATTATGAAGAGTTAACATTACTAATGACATGAGTTTTTGTTACACGTACGTTTACTTTCATGTTGACAGTTACTGTGCGATTGATTGGTCTCGTACCATGGATTATATGGGTTTTGCCACAAGGTATGTGAGTTATGCAACGCTGACAGTTCCTGTGCGTTGCCAATAGACATACGTGGTGTTCTTTTTGTTTGTGGCTGCTGTACGTATCTGACGGTGATCTTCCCAGCCATGGGTACTAGACGTGTAAGATGCTACGCTGACAGTATCTGTGCGTTTTGGCTTGACCTTATTACGCTAATTATGCGGTTAGCAACACAGAAATACGTGCTTTGTCTTCCACGCTGACAGTCCCTGTGCTGTGGATTACATTGTTTACGTTGGTTCTTTTTGTTCACCTGTCCGTTCTCATCCTTCTGCTATCCTAGTTCCTGTCGTTAGTTTGTGTGTTTACCGTCCTGGTCTCCTTAGTCATCACTGCCCTTCCCTTGTATGTATTATGGACCCTGTTTTGTTGTTTTTATTCCATTAAACCACCTTTTTTGTACTGGCACCTGGGTCAGCCATCTTGAGTCCAACCCCAGTTCTCCCTCACCCACCTGGTGAGGGGGACTAAACCATAACAGGATGGACTTTCCCTGAACTCTTCTACCTCACATGGCACACAGTGATCTGAAACTTATTAAGTGCTCAAACCACCATTTTCAGGTTTCTAAACTCAGCTAAACATGTAATAACAGACTTTTTTGGCCATTTGTAAGCAGCAGAAACAAGATGTGAACACCTTATTGACATCACCTCATGAAGCTGATGAAAATGTGGTGAAAATGGCTGCCTGCAGTGGCCCAACACAGCTTCATGTCAGTGATGACAATGTGCCAAAACAGTAAAGCTGTAGGCAAAACAATGAGCTGAAAATTGCTAAAACTCTAGAGCTGAG